TTTTGAAGTATAATAGAAATCCTAATACATGAATCCATTTGTTCTTAGGGTTAATATAGATAAAAATCAACACATCTTGATAATTAAAATATAAAAATTGATACATAAAAATATTAAAATACTTAATTAATTAATATATAAAATTTTTATTAAAAATATTTAAATAATTTTACAATAAATTTTGTTTTTTAAAATGTGTCAAAAATATTAACTTTCACTTTTTCTAACTACACCAAATCAGGTGTTTTTTGGTTTTTGGATGCAAGCAGAAATATTCCAATTAAAATTGAATATTTAGGGTAGAAGTTAAAATTACATCCCAAAATAAAAATATATATATATGCCTTAATTTAAATAAAAAAATTAGGACGGTTGTTATATTTAAAAAATGATTAAACATATAAGATATAATGTGAAATATAATTTTATTAATTTTATTATATAATAATTATTAAATATTTTAATATTTTGAATATTAAAATATTTTAATTTTTAAAAATTTTATTATTTTATAATTCAAATTATATTAAATTCTAAAATAAAGGCAACCAAAGAGAGAATTTTAATACCAAAAGACATCCCTTATCCGAGCATTCATATATTTTAAAGTTCAATAATATACAAACTACAAATCAATATTTCCTTTTTCTTCGAATTAAATCGCATTTTAGAATTAAATCGCATTTTAGAATTAAATATCTAAATCAAATAATCAACCGCATATCTATCTACAGAAGTTTTGATAGAACGCAAGGTGGTGTCTCTGCGATTCCATTTTCAATTGAATCCAATGTTCAAAGCTCTTAAACTCTAGTCTCTTTGTTTTCAATCCACAATGTAAGTCTCTCAATTTCTGTCTCTAAATTGAATTTTCATGGCTTGTTACTCTCCCTTTGCTTCTCCTCTGTACCCAAAAAACCAAATCCAGAAAAAACCTCAGAAATCCTCTATCGAGCAACAGGTATCCTTCAATTCCTTGTTAAATTCATAGCTCAAACTGCAGTGGAGATGTTAATGATGATAAAACCAAGAATCCAGTTCAATTTTATTGTAATTCCTCTAACTCTCACTATAATCTCCACTTCCCTTCCACGAAAATCCCAGGCAGCAGCTAAAGTGTTTGATAGGAAAAGGGCCCAGAAGAAAACCCAAGAAGCATTGATGCCGGAGCAGCTGAAATCATGGTTAAAGAAGCTTCCCGATGTGTTAAACCACACTGCATATACTGAGATATTGAGTTTGAAGAATGAGGGAAAGCTTAAACATGTGATTAAACCTTCTAACGTGGGTTTGGGGAAAGTGGCAGAGCCAATTTTGGTTGTTGTAGTGGATTATAGGGTGTTGAGGATTGTTTTGCTGTCCTTAGAGAGTGATAGGAAGTTCTGGGAATCATGGGATGCGTTAAAGATAGGTCCTTTGTGTGTTAATGCATATTCACCTCCTGTCAAGAGGCCGGAGCTACCTGCCCCATATTTGGGGTCCTTGTGGAGAGTGGCTGCATTTATGTCGTCATGGTTTGAACCCAAGAAAGAGTCAAAAAAGACTGCAGAGTTGAGGAAGGCAAGGATGGAACATGAAAAGCTAAGGAAGGTGGACTTGGAAAGATTGAGGAGGAGAGGGATGTGATTGAGAAGACAAAAGCAATACAGAAGAAACAGGATAAGAGTTTCTTGGTGTTTTTATTTATTTATTTAATTTTTTTTTTGTGATAAATTTAAATTTTTATTAAAAAATTTTAAAAGTTATTTTTAAAAATAAATTAAAGTAAATTAAAAAAAGTTTATAGAAAATAAAATTTTTTTAAAGTAAAAATTTAAATATATATATATATATATATATATATATAAATTTACATTTGGACAGTGAATGAATTTGGGGTTAATGGAACTTGCACGAAGCTAGTGCGTATCGGACCGTTGGGCGTGTGGGGTTGCCTTTTGACTTCATTTATAAGGGATAACAAGCTTCTTATGCTTTACGGGGGGCAGATTGTTTCTTACAACCTTACAACCAACCAAATGAAGAAATTGCCTCCATATGGAGAAGCATTCCAAACTCTCGGATCTTCAAGCAGAGTTTAGTTAGTCTCACTTCACATCAGAAGTCTTCAATTAGAAGAAATTGCTCTGTACAATTTATTTAATAATTACAGATTAAAGTTGTTTTCTCTTAATGCAATGTCTCTCATTACTCTGTTCTTGTCATTCAAATCATAGAATAAAGAATCAATTATTGGTTTATTACACATTTAGATGTCTAATGATAAAACTTAAAAATTACTGTAAAACAAACACTAAGCCCATGTTCCAACAGAATATGAAGATTATTCATTTGATCAACATAATAATCTCATCTAAACTAACCGCATGCAACAATACAGAACAAATCCGAATTCTCCAGATTTGCCAGCTAAACAAATGGAATGAGCTACCCATCTGTATTGTTTTTCTAGACCATTTATTTTATTTAGACATACAATATGAATTTATCCAGTACACTTGATACACTTGCTAACTAATTCTTTTTGCAACAAGTTAATCAGTTTCCATCTGTAGATGGTATTTCATTCAGCGCTAGAAAAGAACGACGTGATAGGGGGAGAGATCATTTCGTGCTGGCCAATAAGGTTTGTGACTGCTTCTCATACTTGAAACCTGCCTTCTTGGAGTCATCAGCCGACCAAATAAAAATGCCATGAAGTTTTCCCTGATGCTTAAGCCTTTTGCAAGCTCTGAAGAACCCATGTTCCGGAGACAAGCCTCCACTATCACCAGTGCCAAAGCTCACCAAGACCTTACCATCTCTGTAATTGGAACTTTGTTCCTCAAAGTGTTCAAGAAATTGAGAAATAGTTGTCCCCTTATCATAGGCGTAAAACTGGAAGTTTACATAGTCTATGAGATGACTGTACCGCCTCCACAGAGCCAAGTAATATGGTTGCACAGAATCAGCTTCATAGGGTGCTATTGAAGCAAACGAGACGACCTTATTTTGTTTTAGGTAGAAAAGAAGCCTCCCAATGCACTCAGCAAATGTCTCAGGATCTGCATGGAAGTGTTCATAGTCTATATCTATTCCATCCAAACTATACTGTGTTGCTATCTCTGTTATTGAATGAATAGCATTTCTGACCCAGGAATTGATTGATTCAGGGTTGAAGTACACATATTGGTCATTGATGGTATCACCCCCAAGACTCATGGCTGCCTTGACGTTTGAGTGACTGGCTTTGATGGAGGAAACGTGAGAAGGGGTGAGGTTCTTTGTATCCCAATATGCAATAAAGTCACCATTGGTGGGGGAAGGGGGTGAAGATGAGGTTGTGTAGTCAATGGCAAAGGAGAGGATGAAGTGGAAATCAACTTCTGGATGAATAGGTACATCTGAAAACGTGACACCCTTGTCCTCAGCTCCTATGTATTCTCTGAAGAGTTTCGAGTTTGCAGCTGATGCAGGGTAGGAAGAAACTAGAACCTGAAGAATTAGAGGGAAGAGGAGAATACATAATTCCATGGCTGTTGACAGCTGTTGCAAGTCTGAGAGCAGATGCTACTTTATCCAAAGGAAGGTGTTTAAATATGTGAAGAATGAATAGATTAGTGTAATTGATGAACAAGAAATTTGGTGCCATATAGTTGTCTTGTTTATATGACAGACACCAAAATCTCCGCTTCCATTTCTTTATGCAAAACTTACAAGGGATTTTGTCCTTATGTTGATGACACCGTTTACCCATAGAATCCAGTCTACTGACTCCCTGTTTGAATCTGCAGTGGCCTACTAGGATTCCCTCCAATCAGATTCTTAGGAGCCAATAAATGTCAAATGCAAACGGAATCCAGTCTAGTGACTCCCTGTTTGCATCTGCAGTGGCCTATTATCGATTGTTTTTATCGTTGACACGGGGACGGCAATAGATTGAAGCAACACTAGGAGAAGATGATGTATCTTGCAATAAGATGATTCAGGACAAGAATGGCTACTAAGGTACCACCCGAGAAGTGTCGACTTTCCATAAAAATTCATTGTTACAAAGAATTAGGAGCCAATAAATGTGAGTATTATAAACAATTGAAGACACGAGAGCAATGGAGAATACAAAGACATGATACAAAATCCTTGTCACTTGAACACAAATCACCAAATGTCAAATGCAATGTAAAGAGCTCCAAAACCAACAAAAGTGGACTGAAAAGATTTTTCTTTTAGAAGAAAGTGTTTTGTTTGGTCAGATTGAATTGGGCAGCCAGCATTTAAGAAGATCAGCTAGTGGTGGAAGTAGCTTTTGATTAGGAAGCTTCATCCAACACGATCCAAGCCATCTTCAAACTCCAGCTGGTATACCCTTCCAGTTGACAATGTATAGACACTACCCCTGTAAACATAAACTCAAACTTGTTCGGGCTAATAACGGCTTTTGTATAACTGCTTTTGCCAGCTTATTTTAAAAGCCAAAAGCACTAAGAAGGATATGTCTTAAGACACACTGGAAAAGAAAGACTGCAGGTTGGAGAGGATCAGTTGGAAAAGATGGACAATAAGCCTGAAATATAGCTTTAAAGATATGTAAAATCTGCATAGGATGAATAATCAAATTGAGATACAAACAATACTGTAGCATAAAAGTGATGTAAGATCTGCGCTGGATGGACAATTGGAAAATCTGCCTTCTCCACACAATACACAAACATTGAAGCAGGATCATGCCAGATTGAGATATGTACATCCTCTACAATATTATGTCTCTCTCTTCTTCAAATGTCAATCAAGCATGATTAGGGATCCACATACAAACAACACTGTAGGAAATTATGTTACAGGACTGTATGAAATATTTATATATCAGATAGCAATACGTCTAAGTACATATCCCTGAAATGTAATACAGATTTATTTCGGTGGTTTGTATAGAATATTTATAGTGCTAGCGAGAAGTTGCAAGTAGAGCCTGTGATTGTTCCTCATACTTGAACCCATTGGCCTTGGAGTCATCTGCAGACCAAACAAATATACCATTGAGTTTGTTCTGACTCTTGAGATTACTGCAAGCGGTAAAGAAGCCATTTTCCGGTGATAGTCCTCCGCTGCCATCACTTATAAAGCTGACTAAGACCTTTCCACCATTATATTTAGAGCTCTGGGTGTTGAAGTAATCCAAGAACTGAGATACTGTGGTTCCTTGGGCGTACGCGTAAAATTGGAAGTTTACATAGTCTATGAGCTGGCTGTAGCTACCCCATAAGGCCAAGTAATGACTCTGAACTTGGTCATCAGCAAATGGAGCTATGGAAGCGAAGGAGATCACCCCATTCTTCTTGAGAGTTGATATAAGGCGCCCAATGCACTCGGCAAAGGTGTTAGGATCAGCCTGGAAATGCTCGTAGTCAATGTCAATTCCATCCAAATTGTACTGGTTGATAATACTTGTGAGTGAAGAAACTGCGTTGGACACCCAAGAATCCACTGAGGAAGGACTGAAGAAAGCAGAGCTACTTCCAACACTGTCCCCTCCTAGGCTTAAGGCCACTTTGACATTTGAATGACTACTCTTGATGGCAGAAACTTCGGAAGGGGAGAGGTTATCCGTGTCCCAGAACACGCTGAACTTCCCATTTGTTGGAGAAGGGGAACTTGAGGTGTCATAGTCTATGGCAAATGAGAGAATGAAGTGGAATTCAACATTCGGATTAACAGGAACATCAGTGAACTTAACGTTCTTAAACTCAGCTCCTATGTATTCTCTGAAGAGGTTTGAGTTTGCAGAAGCAGCTTGCATTGTCACATGGGAGGGGAAGAGAACTTGAAGAACGAGAAGGGTGACTAAAATTTTGGAAAATTCCATTCTTACTGAAACTCGAGTTTTTCTTTAGGCTGTGAGTTCAATCTACCTTCTTCGATGTTATTATATAGTAGTGTTCAGAAGGCAGAAATAGAAATTAGAGAATTCTGGTAGCCTGCCATAGTTGAATTTCTATTCTGAGATTTTCTGTTTGAACAATAAGAACACTGTTTAGAACATGATGTTTCCCATGGTAGACCAAGACCAAGACCAACTGAATACAGTTGACTATCCTCTTGTTTTTTTAGAAGACTTACTGAATATATCGTTTCAAAGACTACTTTCATTTTCCACTTCAGACTGCTACTTTGGCATCTTTCAGACTATGATTAAGACATAAGAGCGTAGTTCTTTGACCTAATCGACCAGCAAGGAAAGTGAGAGTACCCTTCATTTCCATGTCATAAAACGTGTAATTAAGTACTTTATGTCCATTCATTTGATAACTTAGGGTGCAAATTAAGCCATTCTTTTTCTGGAAGAGACTTTCATTTTTTTTTTTTCATGGCTCAGGATATTCAACTAGGTATTAGCCCGTACGCAGATAATCAGATCTAGAACAGGATTGATCCAAAGGAAAAGGTTATTACATACTGATCAAATAAAGATGATAATTTTAGTATGAAATTAGAGAATACAAATTCTCAAAGATAATAATTCTAGTATGAAATTGTCAACAAGTCTTGTGATTGGTTCTCGTAGCAGAAACCTCTAGACTTGGAGTCATCTGCAGTCCAAATAAATATGCCATTAAGTTGTTGCTGACTCTTGAGCCAATTGCAGGCAACAAAGAACCCGTTTTCCGGAGGTAAGCCACCACTTCCATCACTAGCCAAGCTGGCCAGAACTTATCTCCCTCATAGTTTGAGCTTTTGATTCTTGAAATAATCCATGAATTGAGAAATTGTTGTCCTGTTATTATATGCATAAAATTGGAAGTTCACATAATCTATAAGGTGTCCACAACTCTTCTACATATAGAGCCAAGAAATGGCTCTGGACTTGATCATCTTCAAATGGAACTATTGAAGCAAATGATATTACCCTGTTACGCTTTAGGGTTGTTAAGAGTTGCCCAATACACTCTGCAAATGTATTAGGATCTGCCTTGAAATGCTCCTAGTCAATATCAATGCCATCGAGATTGTACTCTTTGATGATGCTGGTAGGTGAAGAAACAGCATTAGAAACCCAGGTATCAACTGAAAAAGGTTGAAAGTCAGCACAATAGTTTTCCAAAACAGTATCTCCTCCAAGGCTCAATGTCACTTTGACATTTGAATGCTGATTCTTAATGGAAGAGATATGAGAGTGGCTAAGATTATTGCTGTCCCAGAAAACATTGAATCTTCCACTGGTGGGAGATGGAGATGAAGAGGAATCATAGTCAATGGCAAATGCAAGAACGAAGTGAAATTGGATGCCTGGATTGATTGGTACATCATAGAATGTCACATTTTTGGATTCAGATCCAATGTACTTCCGGAAGAGGTTTGCATTTCCACGAACACCTTGCATTGGTACAGGGAAGAAAAACAAGACTTGACAGATAACAAAGGAGAGAAACAGCTTGGACATTTCCATTTGGCAGCTGAAATGTGCAACGTATTGAAGCCTGGTCGCCTGATCCAAGGTTTCTTGGGCTGACTTTTATACCGGCCGTTCGGCACTGTCTAAGCAATCATATTCAGTCAACTTTAATGTCTGGCCATGGCCGGAGATATGTGACTTAGCATTTCCCAGGATGATTCCATGTAAGAACAAGAACTTGTTTAAGAATAATTAAATTTGACATTCTCTTCTATGCATAGATTATTGCAATCAAAGATCAGCTGCAAGGCCGGAAGCCAGAATCAACCAGGAAAGGCTCCTATCCTATGAGATATTAACTTTAGCTGCAGAAAGGGCTGACCATATTTCATAATTTATCATTTTGTTCTCTACATCACATGACAAGAAGCCTAATAAGGTTTCCGCATTATAGAAGAAGCATTTTTGTCTGATGTTCCAAGAAGCTTGGTGCCCACCTGACTTTATGATTCTCTGGACCAACATCTTATCCC